AAGAAAAGCTCACAGTGGGAGCACCTGGGTGGCTCAGTTGGTTAAGCGTCAGACCCTCGGTTTTGCCTCAGGTGATGATCTTGAGGTTTCATGAGTTCAAGCCTGGCCTTGGGATTCTCTCAAGCCTGCTTGGATTCCTCAGGATTCCTTAGCCTGCTTGGGATTCTCTCTCTCTCCCTCTCTCTCTTCTCCCCTACTTGCGCTGTCTCTGCCTCTCTCAAAATAAATAAATAAATAAACTTAAAAATTTTTAAAGAAAAGCTTACAGTGGAAGAAAGGTATGTAAACAGAAAATTGCTAAATAAACAGCTAAAGGCTTAAACAGGGGTAGGAAGGAATGTTCTAGATACACTGTGGAGACAGCCTCCACAGTAGGCATCACCCTGGATGTGGCTTTTGAAGAATCAAGAGTCAAGTGGGCCAAGAAGCATACACCAAAATGTCTTACAGGCCTGCAGAAAACAAGTTCACAGAAACGGTACTTTGGCAGCAGCTGAAGCAGGACACGCCATCCCATGCCCACAGCAAACCATGCAAAGCACTATGTGGTCTAGAGAGATTAAATAAATTGTGGCCTCCGCTCCTAGGCATTAAATACATTACCTAAATATAAGACAAACTATTCAGAATACAGTGTGCTTTGAGCAGAGGTGGAAACTGAATATAACTCTGGTCCTAAGTACAAAGATCACTGAGGTGGGTGTGGGGGTGACAGGAGCACTCTCATTAAGGCACGGGTACGGGGTGTGTGGAGTAAAAACCAAAAAAGAAAAAAAAAAAATCAAGGTGGGGCGACAGCAGGTCAAGTGGAAGCAGAAAGAGGAGGAAGCCTATGCCGGGAACTGAGGGATTGGAACAGAAAAGTGGGTGGAGCCAGTGGGCTCCACCCCTGCCTCCTCCGGCTTGGCTACAACCTACTTTCTGCGGAGTCGTTCCAGACAGGTGAGAGAGGAACTTCTAAGACCGGTGAGAAGGGTAGGGGGGGTTGGGTTCAAGAAGGGGGATTGGAGTTAGGGTTAAAGAAGGGGGTCTGGGCCCTACCTAGAGTCTTTGGCTTCTTGATAGCAGAGTTCAGGGAATTCCTGATGGGTTGGTTTTGGGGTGCTGCTAACCAGGTGTTGCTGCTTCTCCCCACCAGCCTCCCAGCCCTTGTGGTAACTTCAGACAGGAAGTTTGAAATCTGAGCTTACGGAGTTAAGGCCCATAGAGGATGGGGTACCCTGGCAGGTGCGGAGTATAGAGAGATCAGGAGTTATCTGGGCCTCCAGTTATCTGGGCTCCATCTGGGCCTCCAATAGATGGAGGCCTTTGTAAGAGGCCCTCTCATATAGTTGTGTCCCTGTGGCTTTGTCGGGTCCATGTACATTTTCTCCATCCAACCAGAGCACGGGCTGAGTAGAGGAAATGGGAAGATGGAGTCAGACAGGGTAATGGTGCTCCTTCCCAACTTCTCTCCCCAACAGGGTCTAAGTGGGGAGACGGGGAGGTAGGGTGGAGGTCCAGTGCAGAGCAATTATAGAGAAAAGGCAGGGTTTGCCTCATTACCTGGATTCCACAGATGCTGGTGAGCACCAAAGCCCCAGGCAGGGCCAGCCAGGACTGGGTCTTGGATGGTGTAGAAAGAGCTGGAAGGGACACTGCAAAGAAGAAGGAAGAAGGAAGGAAGGCAGGGCCATTACACAGTAAGTTGCATGAAAGATCCTGGGTTTATTTCCTGGCTACTCCACACGCACTGATACCCTGGCACTCTGATTGATCCTAGAGAGAATTACAAAGCTGAAGGGAACCCTGAAGGTCATATGTTTTGGCCATTTATTTGATTTGAGACTGAAGAACCTGAGACCCAAAGGTGTCCGATACGGTTACTGCGGAATCTGACCTGTCCGGGACGCCAGTTGCTAGTTTAGACACAATACCTGTGTGTCTTTTTGCAGGAGCCTGGGGAGGGGCCATGGTGCCAAGACAGTTTTGGGGGAGACTGGAGAAGCCGCTTCTCTTCCTGTGCTGCGCCTCCTTCCTCCTGGGGCTGGCTTTGCTGGGCATACAGCCAGACATCGCCCCTGTTGCTTATTTCTTTCTCACCTTGGGTGGCTTCTTCTTGTTTGCCTGCCTCCTGGCCTGTATTCTGGAAAGGGGGTTCCGATCAATGCAGACCGAGAATTCGGGGGCCTCAAGCAATGCACGGTGAGTTAAGGGGCGGGCAGAATTCTAGGAATACACGATGGCCCCTTTTTCCTGGTGTCCCTCTAGTCTCTCAGGCATATAGCTCTGCTTCCCTGTTACTAGTATCAATGAGGGGGTGGGGGGTGGGGTTAGTGGAAGGTTCTTTTGCCAAAAGAAGACTGTAAAGCGGAAAAGGACTCCACACAGGAGGCCACCAGTGATTTTATTTCTCCTCCCTCAGCGACAACGAGGCCTTTGAGGTGCCAACCTATGAAGAGGCTGTGGTGTTGGAATCACAGTGCCGCCCCCAAGAGCTGGGTCAACCACCCCCCTACAGCAGTGTTGTAACCCCTCCAGTACTTGAGGAAGGACAGCCTGGCCATCCAGAGGGGCCCGAAAGAGCTAGACTGGAAAGGCGAGTGGGCTCAGAGGGATCTATGACCTCAGGAAACCCTGGAAGAGCTCCAATCAGCCTTCGGCTTCGGGGACCCCGAGCTGTGTCCACTGCTCCTGATCTGCAGATCTTGGGGATGCCCCCCAAACTGGAGCCTCTTACCCCACCCCCTGACTATGATGTCAGCTTTGGTCAGCCTGATGATGTTTTCTTTGAAAACAACCGGACACCCCCCTAAGAGACTATGCCAGGATATATCCTCTCTGCGCCAGACTCATTCATTCATTTGACCAACATTTCCCAGTGCCTGCCACGTATCAGGAACTCTGTTTCCACGTGGGGAACTTAACACAGAGGGGAGTCAGGCTATCCTAAGCCTCTCCCAGCTGAGATGTACATAGCACTGTTGGAGTCTTCGAGTAACATTCAGTGACCTACCCCATATCCAATATTTCCAGAGTTAGACGAGTATGAGAGGAGTGACCCAGAGAATCTGGAGAAGGAAGAAAAGAAACATCTGAGTGACAGCTATGTTGCTTCTGTTCTGGGTGCTTCATCTCTATTAGCACAAGAAGACTTTCCCAGCCTTGTGAGGTATTACTGCCCTCATTTGAAAAATAAGGATCCCAAGGGTCAGAGGAGTTTGATAATTTGCACAGGGGCACACTGCTAGTAAATAGCATAAAAATGTTTACTCTTCTGATCCCAAAGCCTACTGTATTTTCAATACAAGGTCATCCACAAATCTCTCAATCTCTATCTTGAGCAACTGCTGGAGACAGGTGGGAGCCTTCCTAGGGACAGAACGGTGGACCAGTTGTGTCTGTGGGCAGTGTGGGCTGATTGTGACCAGGAGTGTGCCCTCTCTCCTAGATGAGCAAAGCTAATCAAAGCCGTGATAGCCCCTGCTCCAGGTAAGGGGCAATTTCTGCCCTGGGGCTAAAGAGCAGTCTCCAGGGCAGGGTCCCCACCCCATTGGGAAACTGGAATAAACTGCCCCGGGGGAGGGACTTCCGATTTTAAGACGAGTGGACAAGGGTCAGAAAGGATAAGACAGGGGCTTGCCAGGGGTGGCGGAGTACTTAAGGGTGACTCTTGAATCACCTGCTATGAAGCGCTGGAGCCACATGCACGGTGTCTAACCGCTTAAGCCTCACCCCTGCGCTCGGACCGCAGCGTTTTACCCCCGCCCCCCCCGCCCCCCACCCCTGCCCCGGGTCCTGCTCGCTAAGATCCCAACAGAACACTAGATTTTCTGGAATCGTGCTTCGGCTGTAATGTAGGTTTTAGCCACTGGGAGCTGCTCGGCCATCGCTGACCCACCTTCCTCAGGGGTGCGCTCCCCACTTAGGCTTTCATCCACTGTGTGGTATCTGTGTAACGCCTCGTGCTCTCTATCTCCTCCTTATCCTGGCCCCAACAGTTCAACTTAAATAAAGCATAAAGTCCGGCCAAACCCGTCTCAGTAACGTTGCAATAGGCGGGTGGGACAGGGTGGGAGGCGCCGGAGAGGCATCCGCGATTTCCGCGGGAACCGACGACCAATCGGATTCCCGCGTAGGACGGGGTGTTTCCTAGCCTCCCCCCGCCCCTTCCCTTTCCGCCAAGAGCGCTCTCTCACCCCATTGGACGGCGCTTCTAGCGCGAGGGCTCTGTGCCTGCGCGCGCACTGGCGACGGCAGAGGCGGGGCAGCTCTCGCGTGGGGGTGGAGCTAGAAGAAGCAGCGCGCAGGCGCAATGTGCGCCGGCGGACGGGGGGGAGGGATGCTGAGGGCGTGAGGGTTTTCCGTTTGTTTGGATGTGGGCGGTACGCGCACAGCCCGGGAAAAGCGGTAAATGGCGGCGCCGAGCGCGGCCTCTCGGCCCTGTCTGCACCGAAAGGAGGTAATGGCCGCTGACAGAGGGCGCAGGTGAGTGAGGGAGGGTCGCACAGGTCCTTAGTTGGGCCCAGGGAAGGGAATACGGATCATGGCCCTGGCGCCTCCTCCCCTCGGATCCCCCGTGCAGCCAAGGGTGGGAGGCCAGGCGAGTCCCCGAGGGGCGCGCGAGCGGCGGGCTTCCTCTCGGCCCTGTCCCTCGTGAGCCGACTGCCCCAGCCTGCTTTGACCAACCCCAGGGGTCTCTGGACATGAGGAGCTCTCCGGTACTGCTGAATCTCGGCTTCTCTTAAAGATTCTCCATCCTTTCTTTCCCTCTACTCCTATATGAGGAACTTTGCCCCCTTAAAAGCGGATGACATCTGCAGACCTCGCAGTTCTCCCTGATGTGCATTTGATTTGGATTGACTGTATCATGACACGTATTGCTTTGGGTACAGTGATCAGGTTTTCAAAGCAGTCGACACGGGCTTTCGGGGTTGAGTGCTTTGAAAGGACGAGGTGGTTCCGAGACTCCCAGTGTGTCTCCGCTTCTGCCCCAGTTATATCATTTCATGGCAGGCATCACCCTGGATAACATTTTAATGCCTCGTGGTCCAGACCCAGAAGATTAACTTCGGGCTTTGGAGCCAGAACCTGCAGAAAAACACAGAATCCAGACTTAGGAATTCCTTTTTGTGTCCTTTTCTCCTTTTCCTCCTCCCCTTCCATCTGTGGCCTGGAGTTCTAGATGATTATGATTACTTTGGGGAAGTCCACAATTGAGACTTTGGCCTAAAGTGGAATGCAGAAAGCAGCAGGTGTGTGGAGAATGGATAATGCTTCTGATTAAACCTAATGAGTTACTGATTGACAATTTAAGTCTAGAACTTGAAAGAGTTAAGAAATGTGAGTCAGTTAGTGAATTGTGAGTATGGGTGAGATTGAATAGGGAGAGGCTCTTTGAGGGGGTTCCTAATGGAATGTTAACATTCAAGGGCAGGCTACAGATCTTGTGAAGGAACAGGAACAGTTGGCGGAGAGAGGGACTGGAGAGAAAGTATAGGAAACCAAGGGAGGAGAAAGTTTGAAATGCTGCTGGTAAACTAAGGGAAGAAACTTGAGGAAACCTGCTTCACCAATGATAGGTATCTTAAGGAAATACCCAGCATCTCCAGCTGTGATGTTGTCTTGCAGTTGGCCTGATAACATTTATTTTTACCGGAGTTTCATATACGCCATCATTGTTACTGGCTTGGTGTTTTCTAAGGTGATTCTTTTATATATGTATTTTTTAGATGTCTATTTATTCACTCATTAATTAATTTATTATTTAAGGGAGAACAAGCACAAGCAGGGGAGAGGTGCAGAGGGAGAGAGAGCATCTCAAGCAGGCTCCACGCTCATCACAAAGCCCCATGCAGGGCTTGATCCCATGACCCTGGGATCATGACCCAACCCGAAATCAAGAGTCAGACACTCAACTGAGTCACTCAGTCACCCTAAAGATTTTTTTATTTTAATTTTTTTAAAGTTTATTTATTTCAAGAGAGAGAGCACAGGAAGGGCAGGGAGAGAATCCCAAGCAGGCTCCACACTGCCGGCTCAGCCGGACACGGGGCTCAATTCCACAGCTGACTCTGAGATCATGACTGGGCCAATATCAAGAGTCAGACACTTAACCAACTGAGCCATCCAGGTGCCCCACTTTTTTTTTTTTTTTTTTTTTTTTTAAAACTAATCTCTGCACCCAACGTGGGGCTCAAACTCACAAACCCGGGATCAAGAGTTGCTCACTCTGCCGACTGAGCCAGCCGGGCGCCCCTAAGGTGATTTCTTAAATAAGGTTTTTGATTTCTCCAGATCTATTGTAGCAGGTTTCTACTGAAGGTTTGGGGTCATGGGAGTATTTCTAATAAACAGAAACCCGAAGCTTAAATGGAGTTTCAAACATCACTGTCCCAAACCCTAAACTTAACCGAAGTTGGCTGCTTCCAATCTTGGGAATGTTTTGCTGACCACTTCCTCTGCCTTAAGGTCCACATGCCATCCTCCTCTTGGGTCTCTCAGCTCTTCCAGGACTCTGCTTTTCCTTCCTCTATATATCTCTAACCTGGAGTTAAGCCAAGGGCATCCTATAAATGCATGGTATTTAACTGATTCTAAGATGCAAATTCCTCATCCCCCCTCCCCCACATTTTAATATCTTTGAAATCAGTATGCATCTTTAAATAGGCTTTAAAGTTATAAACTGAAGCTGTTATCTCATCCTTTTCCCGCCGTCAGACCCTTACTGTTGTCATCTTCTTGGGAACTAAGCAGGCTGGTGAGCTCTGGGTTTATGTAAACTAGGCACAGAGATGATATATATTGGAAATGGGAATTTTAAAATTCATAAACAGAAGCTGGTCTCTTTCCAAACCAATAGCAAAACCAAGAATCCTTGAAATAGCCATCTCTATTAAATTACCAAAAGAATTTAGCCTTTATGTTTTAACTCTTTAAAGTGATCTCGGGGCGCCTGGGTGGCGCAGTCGGTTAGGCGTCCGACTTCAGCCAGGTCACGATCTCGCGGTCCGTGAGTTCGAGCCCCGCGTCGGGCTCTGGGCTGATGGCTTGGAGCCTGGAGCCTGTTTCCGATTCTGTGTCTCCCTCTCTCTCTGCCCCTCCCCCGTTCATGCTCTGTCTCTCTCTGTCCCAAAAATAAATAAACGTTGAAAAAAAAAATTTAAAAAAATAAAAAAAATAAAGTGATCTCAAGTTATGTTGATTCTGTTTGTCGTCTGTATTTACTGTGACTTTCTGTCATACTTTCTACTTACCTAGTTCTTATTTCTAGCATCATTTTGTCACAGGAACTTAAGTTTTAAAAACCATAGGTATAAGTGGGATAGAGAGTACGTGCGTGTGTGTACACCTATCTCATTTATTTCGTGTTAATTTTTTTTTTTCAACGTTTATTTATTTTTGGGACAGAGAGAGACAGAGCATGAACGGGGGAGGGGCAGAGAGAGAGGGAGACACAGAATCGGAAACAGGCTCCAGGCTCTGAGCCATCAGCCCAGAGCCTGACGCGGGGCTCGAACTCACGGACCGCGAGATCGTGACCTGGCTGAAGTCGGACGCTCAACCGACTGCGCCACCCAGGCGCCCCATTTATTTCGTGTTAAAGCCAGCGATTGGCTTGAACTTTTGCCATTGTATTAAATTATTTTATTCCTCACCTGGGATCATTTTAAACATATCATTTATAGCAGCCTAGATAAATAATGCAAAAGGTTTTCTGGAGTAATCTTTTAATTTTTTTTTTTTTATTTTTTTAATGTCTTTATTTTTGAGAGAGAGGGACAGAGCACGAGTGGGGGAGGGGCAGAGAGAGAGACAGACAGACACACAGAGTGGGGAAGCAGGCTCCAGGCTCAAAGCTGTCAGCCCAGAACCCGATGCGGGGCTCCAACCCACAAACCGCGAGATCATGACCTGAGCCACCAAAGTCGGACACTTAACCAACTGAGCCACCCAGGCCCCCTGGAATAATCTCTTAATTGAAATTGGTGTGTCAGAGGAATATTTCTTCTCATAAATATGTGTGCTTCTGTGTGTATCATTTTTTCAAGGTAGGTATTTTCCTCCCCTAGACGCACTAATTCATCTCAGAGGATGGTCTCAGTTTAACATACTCCATAAAAAATTATACGTTATTTCTTTATGACCAGTGTGTTACTGCTGAATACTGCTTTGATTTTAACCAGATTCAATAAAATATGCTTAATATTGGTTATTGCAGTCCCATTCTTTGTGTTCTGTCTACCCACAACTGTTCCATTCTACTCTTCTGTGCCAAATCTTATACCTGACAGCCTTTCCCTCTGCCTTAAATCTGTAGGATACTGGGAGTGTGTGGCATGCATCCTGACCATCAGGAAGCACTAAAAAAGAACCGAGTGGTACTGGCCAAACAACTTTTGCTGAGTGAACTGTTAGAACACCTCCTAGAGAAGGACATCATCACCTTGGAAATGAGGGAGCACATTCAGGTATTTGGAAGCAAAAGAGAAACGCCAAATAAATAAATTGGTCGTGGGAGTATGACAAAGTATGGCAAGGATGTAGAGCCTTCCTAAGGAAATGAAAATGCCCTTCTACCCTAAAGCCTTAAACAGAAAAGACATATAATTTAAGAATAATAGGAAAGACTTCCCCCCATACATGTATTTTTCCTGTAAAAGGATTCTTGAGATTACTAGGAAGGTCGTCTGGAGAGAGAAAATTATAGCTGGATAAGTAAATATGATTTCATGTTGTTGTTTTTTTTTTTATCTTAGGCCAAAGTGGGCAGTTTCAGCCAAAATGTGGAACTTCTCAACTTGCTGCCCAAGAGGGGTCCCCAGGCTTTTAATGCCTTCTGTGTGGCCCTGAGGGAGACCAAGCAGGGTCATCTGGAGGATCTGTTGCTCACTACCCTCTCTGATCTTCAGCATGCAATCCCACCGGTATGGAGCCCTAGACATGTGGTGTGTTGAGAAGGATTCGTTTGGTGGGAAAGGAATTTTTGAGATGGGGCTGGGGAGACTAGATAAAGGTTTTATTCAGACTGGATCATCTCCTTAAGACCTGGTATGATGGGTCCTGGTTTCTTACAGTTGAGCTGTGACAACGACTGGAGTCTCCCCTTCCCAATGTGTGAGTCCTGTCCCCCTCACAAGCAACTCCGCCTGTCTCCAGGTGAGAATCGATGGCATAACACGTCCCACAGATTGACTTGTTTCTTGACTGGTATCTGACTTTGCCCTAGCACGATTCCTATTTATATTCATACTGGGAACAGTTTCCTCAGTGAATTTGTTAGGGTCTAGCAGGAAAGTTTAGATGGAGTATTGGTTGGGCCTGCTTCCTTCCATCACAGATGATTTTTCCACAGTATTTAGCCCTTAGCTCAGGTATAGGTAGGAAGTTCCTACCCGAGTGGCCTGGCTCTTTAAAGCCGCTACTTTAGAATGAGCAAAGACTACATTTTGGGCCACTAGCCTGCTGACTGAGTAGCCTATTGATTAGAACAAGGCTTTTGTCAGATACCCCTTTCAGTACGGTATGTGGGAGGGTAATCCAGCAGTGAGCAAAAGCACATAGGGTCTCTGCCCTCCTGGATTTGACAGTTTTGGGGAGTGAGCAGAATCGCTAATTATTAAAACCCCAGTTCAACAGGGTGCCTTAAGTTACAATGAAGTACTAGGATTGACACAGATTGTATACTAGTGTTTTTGGCTCTCTGTGCCACAGATGCTGTGGAACACTCCCTAGACAATGGAGATGGTCCTCCCTGCCTTCAGGTGAAGCCTTGCACTCCCGAGTTTTATCAAACACACTACCAGCTGGTGAGTCATGCAGAATGCAAGAGGAAGAGTTGGGAAATGGGAGACCCTTCCTAGGCATCTGAACTTAGATTGTGTATATATCTCCTTCCTGCTTTATTAGTCAGAAAGGCATTACGGATTGGTTATCTTCTCTGGGCATTCCTCTGTATTGACCTGGTGGGGTTAACGAAAATAGGATGGCTTTGTTTTCTTGAAATGTGTCGAATTTTTTAGTTGGGGAGACATAGTTTGTGTCCATAAGAAGCTCTAATTGGCCTCCCCCACACCCCCATCCTGCCCCAGGCCTATAGGTTGCAGTCTCGGCCTCGTGGCCTGGCCTTGGTGCTGAGCAATGTACACTTCACTGGAGAGAAAGACCTGGAATTTCGCTCTGGAGGGGATGTGGACCACAGCACTCTTGTCACCCTTTTCAAGCTCTTAGGCTACAAAGTCCATGTTCTACTTGACCAGACTGCACAGGTACATCTAATGTGTGCATTGGAGGGCTGGGCAACACTTTGGGGCCAGGAACATTCACTGCTCTTCTACCCGCTGGATAGATGTTACTCAGGGGTTACTCAAATTATGGTGGGTTTTTTGTTGTTTTTGGTTTTTTTTTTTTTAATTTTTTTTTTATGTTTATTTTTGAGAGAGAGGGAGATGCAGAATCCAAAGCAGGCTCCAGGCTCTGAGCTGTCAGCACAGAACCCAGTGCAGGTCTCAAACTCATGAGCCGTGAGATCGTGACCTGAGCCGAAGTCGGACACTAAACTGACTGAGCCACCCAGGTGCCCCTCAAGTTCTATTTTCCTTTGTACCTTTTTACTCATTCTGGTCTGTGTCTTGCCTTGCAAGCTAGTTTAAAAAAAAAAAAAAAAAAAGAATTCAGGCCAGCCAGCAGCTCCAGTGTTAAGCTTAGGGTCACTGTGCTCTCCTGAGCAATACCAGTCCCAGTTTGGGTTCTTACTCTTCCATGTTCAGAAACTTGGTTCGCAGTCACTCAGGATGTGAGGAGACACTGAGATTCTCCCAGCCAATCAGGAAAGATACTTCTAAGCCATGATGACACAGGACATATACTTCTTGGTTGATATTGTTGCTTACAAGTCCAGTTATTGTTGAAAAGATTACCTTGGCAGATAAAATTCTTGCAAGTGGAAGTTTGCTAGAACTGTCCTTGGCAGTTTCCATGAATTAACATGGAAAAATTCCTTACCCTTACCAGTTGTGTGACCACAAGACAGATCTTAGAGTAGATTACTTCCGGACTAGATTCCTACAAATCGCAAGCATTTTCATTGTGTGCTATTCCCTGTTTCCCTGTTAACCCCAATTACTGAGCCGTACTGCTGACTTAGTTACCTTTAGGTATTTCTCTTCTGGAATTGATGATAGCCTATTGGTAAATAGATATTAATCTTCCCTTTTTTTTCCCCTTTCCATCCTTTTGCTCTTTTTAAGTTTTTATTTTAATTCCAGTTAGTTAACATACAGTGTTATGTTAGTTGCATGTATACAATATAGTAATTCAATACTTCATACATCACCCTGTGCTCATCATGACAAGTGCACTCCTTAATCCCCATCACCTATTTAACCCATCTTTCCACCCCTAATTCTTCATTTTGATTCCAGAATAATAGTACTTTCTCAAATTTGCTTTTGGGAACATCAGTGGTAAAATCAGAGTTTCTAGGAAATTCACTTTGACTTGTTGAGATAGGAAATCTTTGTTTTGTCTTCAGCATTGTCTGTGGTCTTCATTTCTGTTTCTCAGCTATCTTCTATGAGAATGATTGTATACATGCTGTACTTTTGGTAAGGGCAGTTTCAACAGTAGATACCTGAGTGTTGTTATTTACCTGCTCTTTTCACCACCTTTGCAATAATAGCCCATGCAGAGAAGTAAACCCATCCATGCTTCAAAGCCATGGCTGGAACAGCTTCTGTAGTAATCAAGTGATACTCAAGTAGGTTATATGCTCGGGGCACCTAGCTGGCTGTCAGTAGAGGCTGTGACTCTTGATCAAGTAGGTTATATGCTTTCCTAAGAGGTCTACTGAGCGTGAAGGGAATGAGGGTAGGACATCAGCCGTAATTCCTACCAAGAGACCACTTAGAAGACCACTTAACAAAATGAATGTTTATTTATGTTTCTCTAGAGCTTTTGGTCTAGTCTTTTTTTTTTTTTTTTTTTTTTTTTCTTTTTTAAATATTCTGAGAGAGAGAGAGCACATGCACATGTAGGGGAGGAACAGAGGGGAGAGAAAGAATCCCAAGCAGGCTCCATGCTGTTCAGCACAGAGCCCAAGGAGGTGTTCGAACTCATGAACCATGAGATCATGACCTGAGCCAAAATCAAGGGTCAGATGCTTAACCGACTGAGCCATCCAGGTGCCCCTCTAGCCATTCCTTTTACTAGGAAGTTATTATGTCATAGTTTTCCAAATTGTATGCAGTTGATAAGGGATTTTATATGCTTGATAATTAAAAATACAGTGCTGGGGTGCCTGGGTGACTCAGTTAAGCATCTGACTTTGGCTCAGGCCATGATCTCATGGTTTGTGAGTTTGAGCCCCACGTCAGGCTCTGCTGTCAGCACTGAGCCCACTTCCGATCATCTGTCTCCCCCTCTCTGCCCCTCCCCAGCTTGTTCTTTGTCTCTCAAAATAAACTTAAAAAATAAATAAATAAATAAATAAATAAATAACAACAGTCCTGAGTCACCAAGTCAGCTATATACTACTGTTTTTCAGAGGCATTCAGCAGATTTGGTGTACCCATGAACCCACTTCACAAATACCATTCCCATTTATGCTAAAACTGATGTAGATTCAAGTACCTATTAGATTCTAATTCTCTGGTTACATTGTCCTAGGGGCTCCTGGCTGGCTCAGTTGGGAAAGCATATGATTCTTGATCTTGGTGTTGTAAGTTCAAGCCCCACGTTGGGCATAGAACTTACTTTAAAAATTAATCAGAGGCACGTGGGTGGCTCAGTTGGTTAAGCATCCTACTCTTGATCTCAGTTCGTGTCCAGATCACAGGGTTGTGAGTTCAAGCCCCACGGTGGGCTCCACACTGGCCATGGAGCCGACTTTTAAAAAAATAAAAATAAATAAATATTAATTAATTTTGAACACTTTACAATGGCTGAGGCGGAACTATGTTTGCTTCTATAAATTTACTAGAAATTTTTTTTTAATGATTCTTGAGTTCACAGGACCTCAGATGAGGTAGTCTTGACATCAGCAAAAAAAGAAGTACTTCCCTTATATTCTTAAGGACCAAGCAAGAGTAGACAAGTCTTCTACAGTAGTTAAGATAAAGAAACCATCCCCTCAGTAGATGTGGTCAGAAAGATAAATGGATTGTGTGAGACTTGAGCTGGCCTTGAAAGATAGAAGCCCCTGAAGCACAGAGGAGTGGGGGAGGGGTCCTAGGCAGGGAGAATAGCCTATAGATAGAAATGTGTCTGTGATGTTAGGGAAATAATGGGTAAAGCAAATGTGCCATGGCAAAAAAGTGCCAAAAATAAGATTGGAGATAAAGGGACTAGAATCCCAGGCCCTTGAACTTCCTTGTTTTACAAAACCGTTAGTAATTTTTTTAACAGAAAGGTGATACATTCACAGTGATGATTCGGGCTACCATTGGGAAGAGTGAAGTGGAGACAAGTGGCAGGGAATCCAGTTTGGAGTTAATATAATGGGAGTACAAGATGTTGGGATCCTGGACAGAATAGTAGACCAAGAGGGAAAGAATGTGTGTGGAAAATAGCATAATGGCATGATTGTACTGTTTGTGCTTGGTGGTTAAATGACTGCATATAGAAAAAGAAAAATTAAGTAAGGATTTGAGGGTCTCAGAGAAATCAGGACCAAACATTTGGGCATTACCTGTGCAGGAGAAATACTTTAAGTGATAAGAATATGAAATCTTTGAGAAGGAGGTTAGAGTCAGAAGACCAAAAGGCATAGAACTAAACCTTGGGGGATAGCCCTCCCTGTAGCCTGGTCCTTAGCTCTGGAGACTCAGAAACATGAGGAGGACGTTGCACAGTCAGTTTCCAACAGTGGCCAATCAATCAAACTCTCAGTACAGTTAAAACCAGGTAGTTACAGTGGTTGTGATAATTTGGTTCTTTGGGCATCTGCACAGAATATTTTCTTCCTGGTAGGACTTCTCAAGAGACTCAACTCTTTTCTCATGTAATTATTTGGCAAGCAAAGAGAACCAAAAAAAATTAAGATCTTTTTTTCTCCCTATTATACCTTTTTGACTTTAGAAATAATTGCATTTAAAAATTTGAAATAGTGTAGTCTTAGAGAATCCTCTCCACTACACGGTGCTGGACAATACACTGGTATTCTCACTGCTCGTGGAGGTTTTCAGTTTTCCTCCTGGTCATCAAAGTTTTCTGTCACTGCACCTCCCATGAGGCTACTAGTTCTAGAATTAACAGTTATCGTATATTAGGAAATGAGATACATTTTATTTTTATTTTTTTTAATTTTTTTTTTTTAATGTTTATTTATTTCTGAGACAGAGAGAGACAGAGCATGAATGGGGGAAGGGCAGAGAGAGAGGGAGACACAGAATCAGAAGCAGGTTCCAGACTCTGAGCTGTCAGCACAGAGTCTGAC